GGGTGAGTGGTGGTGGGGGTGAGGGAGAGGGGGAGAATAGTTGAGGGGAAGAGGGGGAAAGGGGGGATTGGAGGGAAGAGAGGGGAAAAGGGGGGAGTGAGATGGGGAGAAAAGGAGATTGAGGGGGAAGAGAGAGGGAAGAGGTGAAAAGAAGGGGAGAAGAAGGGATGAGGATGTGAGGGAAAAGGAGGGGGATGGAAAGAGGGGTTGGGGAGGAAGGGGGCTAAGTAGAGGGGATGAAAGGTGGGAGTAACAATGAGGCAGGGGGAAGTAACAAGAGTAACAAAGGTCAAAGTATTACATTGAATATTGTTATATTGTTCTTGAATATCAAATCAATGGGATAAGATACCAGGATTTCTATTTAGTTATTGCAACATATTAATTTATTAATATTTTAATAATTAATATTAAAAAATTTTATTTAGCAATAATATAATAATTATTAACTTATTATATTTGGTCATCATCAAATTAGTATAATAAAATAACTACCATTTAATAAATATGAAAAAAATGATCAGGGATTAGCAATAGGGAAATGATAAATCAAGATTTATTGTAAAATTTTAATGAAAAAAAATAAATGAAAGGCATTTGACAAAAACAAAACAATAAAAAATAATAATAATAATATAAAATTAACAAAACACAACAAAAAAAAGCTCTTATACACAAAATGTTACTCACTTCATTGGTATATTCCAAATGCAGTTTTATAAGAAAAAACGTCAGTCAAAACAATTTTGTGTATCATTTCATAATATTAAGAAATAGATGATTTTAAGACACTTTCCAGCCTTCAATGTCATTTATTATTCAGTGCACATTATACCTTTCTTATTATATACCTTTAGTTCATGATTTGCATGACATTTAGCAAAATCAGAGAGAAGATATACACGGAAAAATATTGTAAAATTTTAGCGCACGAAATACATGATATATTGCATAATTTCAGTAAAGGAAACCTCTAATATACCTATTGCATAATATCATGACAAAATATATTAAAAATCCATACCCCTTATCACCCTCTCACAAAACTTCAATTCAATTCATTTCTTGTGAAAAAATTGAGATTCTAGTTATAAATTGTACTGAAATCTAGATTTTCAATTTATTATTTGTCATTAATATGTTCTGTGGCAGTGTCTCCGCACTGTGCGATTCAACTGTTAAAGATATTAACAATCAATAAGTAAAACAATCGGCAAAAGCTATTGTAGTACATACATCAACGTGGTCATTGTTGACGTGAAGGTTTGTTGCACCACTTCCCATCGCCGCACTGCGCCGATCGTAAACGGGATCCAAAGCTGGCAGCAGTAGTTAAGAAGAAGGATCACAAGGGCGATGAAGAGTGTCCATAGCTGGCAGCAGTACTCAAGGAGAGGGATCATACTGGTTCTGAAGAATGTCCAAAGCTGGCAGCAGTACTGAAGGAGAGGGATCATACTGGTTCTGAAGAGCGTCCAAAGCTGGCAGCAGTACTCAAAAAGAAGGATCATACTGGTTCTGAAGAGCGTCCAAAGCTGGCAGCAGTACTCAAAAAGAAGGATCATACTGGGCGCTGAAGAGTGTTCATGGCTGGCAGCAGTACCTACTGAAGGAGAGGGATCACAAGAAATCTGAAGAGTGTCCATAGCAGCAGCACCCGAGGAAAGGGATCATAAGAGTTCTGAAGGGTGTCCAAAGCTGGCAGTACTCAAGGAGAGGGATCAGACAAGGGTTAGAAGAGTGCGAACAACGGGTCCGCTTCTCTTATTGTGAACGTCCGCCAGATCCACCCTATCTGTCACCTTACCAGGGCTTGTGCATATGGCAAGGGCTTGCGGTTATTGCCGTTAGGTGACCACCAAACTTAACCTGAGTATTCAACACTTCTAGATCGCGAACGAGTCGCTTCTCTTCGATTTCTGTGCCGCCTGGTTCCAGGTAGCGGTGCTCCATACCAGCTCTTCCGCTACCTCTGTATCTCAGAACCTCAAGCTTGGTCCCGTTGAACTGCATGTCGTTCACTTGGGCCCAGTCATATATTGCAGAGAGGTCTTCTTGCAACCTCTCGCAGTCCCTCCTGCTGTCTCTTATACACATCTAGATGTGTATAAGAGACAGGTGAATCTGCGATTAAAGCAATCTAGTGACATTATTAACAAATTATTGGTCGATAGTAGCATTTTACTATTTTTAATATTCATCCAGTTCAGTTAAGATTTGGAATTAAACACAATTTAAAAACGTTAATGGGTCAAATACTGACTGGTCTTTCTTCTACGAGCTGATGGAAAATGCCAACTAATTANCTGCTGCTGTTGCTGCTGCTGTTACTGCTGCTGTTGCTGCTGCTGTTACTGCTGCTGTTGCTGCTGCTGCTGCTGTGGCTGCTGCCTCTGCTGCTGTCGTTGCTGCTGCTGTTACTGCTGCTGTTGCTGCTGCTGCTGTTGCTGCTGCTGTTACTGCTGCTGTTGCTACTGCTGTTACTGCTGCCACTGTCACTGCTGTTGTTACTGCCACTGCCGTTACTGCTGCTGTGGCTGTTACTGTTGCTGCTGTCACTGCTGTTGTTACTGCAGCTGTTGCTGCTATTACTGCTGCCACTGCTGTTATTGCTGCTGTTACTGCCACTGCCGTTACTGCTGCTGTGGCTGCTGTCGTTGCTGCAGCTCCAGCGTCGCGGGCAAGCTGCCGATGATTATCGGCATGCAAATTCCAGCAAAATAAATACAAAAATGATTGCGACGGGTTAATCAGAAATATCAGCAAAATCTTACTAGTATTTTAATAATTTTATTCATGAATATGAAGGACGATAACAACTGTGGTTCAAGGTCACGCGGTTTCCATCATTTTTGTCATGGCATTTCTAACGTCGAATATTTTAGTTTCCCTTTGAAAATTAGTTTCCGTAGATTGGATAATATGGCACACAGCAGATTTTTAAACATTGATGGTGAAATGTCTACAAGAAAGTCTTTTGGAACATTTTAGACTATATATACTAGAATTTATTACTACTTTAATAAACTAGAATATTCTAGAACGTAACGTTTGGCCATTATTTTCGATTTTTTTTACACACGTTATACTTAGATTTTATTATAGATATTTTACATTTTATTTAAATTAGATATTTAGCAATTAATTCATCATTTAAAATTTCGTCACTAATTAAGGTACTGTTCCCTGTGGTACTCAGCTGTGGTACTTTTCCTTGTTATATCCCGCTGTGATTTCATCCCCTGTGGGACTGCGCTGTGGTGCTTTTCCATGTTAAACTCCGCTGTGGTACCATTTCTTTTGGTACTCCGCTTTCCACCCTCACCTCTCTAGACCTCGAGCTCCCAACACCGACAGCTTGTAGCATCCACGGCAAATTATGTCCGGCGAAATCCCAGTATGCAGCTTAAGCGTACGTAGCTGCGAATTTTGTGTCTATGACTGACCAGTGATTGGCAGAGCCAATCACAATCCGTAAACCAACTCTTGCTGGTGATTGTTCAACGCTCATCGTCGTTGACGTTGTTGTTGTTTTCGTCCACCGCCTGCTCGTGGACGCCAAAATCATCCTCGTCTGCTAAATCCACGGCGTCCTGACGTGTGAACCTCCTGCTGTGGCTGCTGTGGCTGTGGCTGCGGCTGCTGTGGCTGCTGCCTCTGCTGCTGTCGTTGCTGCTGCTGTCGTTGCTGCTGCTGTTACTGCTGCTGTTACTGCTGCTGTTGCTGCTGCTGTTACTGCTGCTGTTGCTGCTGCTGTTACTGCTGCTGTTGCTGCTGCTGCTGCTGTGGCTGCTGCCTCTGCTGCTGTCGTTGCTGCTGCTGTTACTGCTGCTGTTGCTGCTGCTGCTGCTGTGGCTGCTGCCTCTGCTGCTGTCGTTGCTGCTGCTGTTACTGCTGCTGTTGCTGCTGCTGCTGCTGTGGCTGCTGCCTCTGCTGCTGTCGTTGCTGCTGCTGTTACTGCTGCTGTTGCTGCTGCTGCTGCTGTGGCTGCTGCCTCTGCTGCTGTCGTTGCTGCTGCTGTTACTGCTGCTGTTGCTGCTGCTGCTGTTGCTGCTGCTGTTACTGCTGCTGTTGCTACTGCTGTTACTGCTGC